GGCTTGGGTGTTAATGAGCTGTGTGAGTGTCTTTCTCCCTCACTGACCCTCGACTACCACAGTACAAACATACAGAGTTCCATGGGTCACAGCTGAGACAGCAAAGGGATCTTTTTCTCTGGAACCAGACAACGCTTAGTGGTTTGTCATGGGAAGGAAGTAGTGAAGGGCATTCCAGGTGGATCAAAGATATGGCCTATCTATTAGTCCATTAACTCATGTCTATGCAGTCCTACTATGTGCCCAGCATTTTGCTAGTGCTGGGAGTAGATAGAAGATCAATACAGCTGGAAGGGGACACTGGGTCAAGAATGGGGAGGTGGGCTATTACCAGGGGTAAAGGGCCCCTAGGAACTGGGTGAGGGTGCTGACCTTTTATCCTGGAAGCCAACAGAGGCCTGAGAATGGTCTTTGGCAGGGAAGTGTTGGCATCACACTTGGCCCTAAATGAAGGAGGTCTTTATGAATAGATATGGAGTGATTCGTAGTGTATATTGGTAAGTGAAAAAACAATGCGCCAACAGCAACCTGTCATGTGCTCTTTTGTGTGAGAAAGAAGGGAAGGGAGATTAAGATGTCCGTGTACTTGTTCATTTGCAAAAATAAGTGCAGGAAGAATAGACAAGCTGGAAACTTTCCAGGGCAGGTGGGAATAAGGTGGAAAGGAGAAGGTTGAGAACAAAGCAGAAGGAACAATGCTTCTCTGAGGATATCTTTTTATATAGTTCTGACTTTTGCATCCATAGTAAAAAAGAATTCTTGAAAATGAAGAAAATGCCCTCAAGTGGAAGACAGAAAGCGATGGGAATGGGAAAGAGCTGACACAAGCATCTTTGGAAAGCAGGATTTGGAAGAGAAGCTGTTGGCTGCAAACAAAAGGGCTGTAAACAAATTGTGAGCTCAGTTTTTCACAGAGACATTCTGTGTCTAGCAATTCTGAAATTACTTTTTGTGTATTTTAAGATTGAGCAGATAAGTATATTGTAGATGAAGGCCACAAAGTTTGTTGGAGAAGAGAGTGTTAAAATATGGAACAAGGGAAATGCCAGGTGTTTGTCAGGCTGGAGTTCATTCTAGATAGATACATAGATAGATAGAAAGAAAGAAACCGTGTGTGCCTTTCCTAGCTCTGTCTCTGATAAGGCCTAGGAGGAATGACAGACCCCAGTAACGGAGCACACCTAGTGTCCAAACATTGGTTTCAAATAGCATTCTCCACTGCAAGGAGTCAGGACTCCATGGAAGAAAGATCAATTTCAGAGCAGGCAAAGTACAAGATGAGTGTAAAGCATTTATAGTCCCAGAAATTAAGGATATGCTCAAAGAATGCAGGTAATATTTTTTTTAAAACAAAACCACATTCTAGGAGGGTAAGAGAGAATTCCAAGGTTCAAGCCCAGTCCAGACAACTAGTGACCTAACAAGACCTTGTCTCATGGTAAAAGTTTTTAAAAGGCTGGAAATGTAGCTCAGTGCAAAGGCCCTGGGTTCAATCCCCTCTACCAGTGATGGCAAACCTTTTAGAGCTTTCAATGATAGCAAACAGCTCACTGCAGCACACATGCCATAGATGTGTCACCACCGCCCTATACTGTAAAAAATGAATAAATAAACCAACCACTTGGGAGACAGTCTGAGAGTCTGATCAAATACGAATAGCAAGGATTACAACCCACTGAATAAAATAAGAATCTGTGAATATAGCTAAATATATGTTAACATAATATATATTTGCAGGGGGTGTAATGTTTAAATTTTTAAAAGCTATTACAGTAAAAGACATTGGTAAGGACATGGGATAAGTGTGTTTGAAGGGAAGGGGAATATTTTGAGGGGGATTAATGGCAAGTTTGTCTTACATAATAAATTTTTTAACTTAGCCATTTACCATATTTTATCATGTATTATTTATATATTTATCATTTGTATGTCATTCATTTTGATGAATGTTTTATTATATTTTGTAGTATACATATTTATAGTATATATATACTGACATAAGAAATTTTTTATATATCCTGACATAAAGAAAGGATAACTCATCCTTATAGTAGACTTCCAACTAGTAGATACAGAAAGAATGATAGAAGTAGAAAAATCACTGTCATAGTAGTAATTAATCCAGCCAAGAATATCTGTGGATGCTAAAACTAATGGAAAAGATCAATGAGTAATTACAAAATTCCAACAACCTGGAGTGGGATAAACTCAGGCTCACAAATCCAAGGCACACTGTAGATCTTTTCTCAGCTGCTCTCAGTAGCGCTGTTGCTACTAATGACAGCAGTTATTTATTGTGACAAGCCTTGTAACAGGTGGGGATTTGGGCTTTTGGGTTTTTGCAAATATTAACTCAATTCCAATACTAACTCCGTGAACTTTTCCACGAGTATCTTCCTTTACAAGAGGAAAACAAAGTTCAAGATATGAAAAATATGTCTAGGATCAAATACCTAATAAGAGGCAGAGCCCAGATTCAAATTCTCTGCTTTCTGGCTTTGATGTTGGCATTGTTCTATCATGCATTGTGTCCCTGGATCCTCCTTGAACTCTGTGCTCTCCGAAAGTGCAGAATAATTATCCCATGGAAGCATTCTTAAACAAAAGCACTGATGATTCCTTCCCCCCACCATATTTACTAAACACCTAGCCTCATTTCCCTGCAAAATTGAGACATCACGTGTCCTTTAATGATGGGGTTACATTCTGGGAGCTTCGGTGTTAGTCGATTTTGTCAGTGTGGGGCATCATGCTGTTGAACAAACCTAGATCATGGAAGTCAGTCACTTGTGTGGCCTCTGGAGGCAACCTACAGACGTGGTGAACACAATGTAAGCAGCTGCTGCTAGCATAGCACATCCTACTGTTTTACAGTAAGCTTTTTTAATAACTAGAATACCCTAAAATAATGATCAAAAGTATAATAAGTCCACAGACCAGTAACCTAGCTGCCAATTATTATTACCAAGTAGTTTTACTGTGCATGATGATATGTGTGTACTTTCCTAAGACTGGCAGTGCAGTAATTTTGTTCACACCAGCATTACCACAAGCATGTGCGTCATTGGTTAAGGTATGATACCAGGATAGCCAGATTGTCACAGGGCCAGAGGAATGTCCCAGCTCCATTGTAATCTTATGGAACCACTGTTGCAGAGCAATGTAGTGTTGACCAAAATGCCATTATGCAGTGTATAACTGTACTTACTGCACATGTTGTTATGAGGATTAAATTAGACAATGTGTGTAAAGCTTATAGGACAGCATAAAACGCGTGTTCACTAAGTGACAGTAATAGCAGTTGTAATGTTGCATTCTGTGGTGTGATAAGAAGTCTTTCTGAAGGACACCCTTTGCTTTTGGACTGAATTGATAATCAGGCACCAAAGCATAAAGAGCTCTGTGTATTGTGAAAGGAAGATTGCATCTTATTCTATATGCAAAAGAAGGCACTGAAGAATTCTATTGCTTGGAGCGATGTGATCTGGTTGGCAATTTACAGAGCAGACCAAGGAGAGCAGAGAAAAAACAAATGCAGAGCGGCCAGCAGGAGGCTGTGGTCAAAGGCCAGGCAGGGATGGCAAGGGTCCAAGTGTCGGAAAGGGCTGCAGATGGCGAGGAGGGAGGATCGGGTGGACGGGCTCACTGCAGGCAGGAGAGGGCGGGGAAGGAGCTTCGGCTGAGCCTCTGGCCTGGCTGTTGGCTCCTCTCAGGGGAATGACCAGAGTGTGAAGGAGGCGCAGGCTGGGGCACTGCAAAGTGCCAAATTGCTGTGGTTTGAGACAGGCGGTGGAGTTGCAGTAGATAGCAGACTTATTCAGAGCTGGATGGAGGCTCCGAAGATCCACATATTGTGATCCAGATCAGAGAGAGCGGCCAGTGCTGGAGAATCACTGAACGTGGGGGTGCGTGGGATCCCCCGGGGAAAGTGATAGAGTGAGGAGAGGGCTGAGGGATTGGTTTTGGAAACACCAGTATTTTGAGATGGCACTAGAAGAGGCTGAAGGAGACTAAGAGAGGAGCACTCAGAAAGACAAGCAAGGTCCACAGTGTGAGCTTTCTGCCACGCCAGAGGCTACAGGCAGAGCAAACAAGGCAAAGACTCAGAACCAGTGACTTGAACAAGAGCAAGTGTCCTATTGGTAGATTTCCATTATCCCAGCTACTCACGAGGCTTAGAGTGGAGGATTGCAAGCTTGAGCCCTGCCTGGACAACTTTGCAAGACTCTGACTCAAAATAAAATTTTAAAAGGGCTGGGGATGAGCACTGAGGTGCTCAGTGGGTACTGAGGAGCAGAATCCAGTTTGCTGGTGAAGAAAAAAACAGCCTTTGTAAAAGAGAGAAATTAGTACCTGAATGCTCCCAGAGAAGCCAGCATTGCCCCTTGCTGTGCACTTCCTCCTACTGTCCCTCCTACTGCCCAGTGTTTGCCTGGGTTCCTTCTTCTCTTGGCTCCGACTTCCCTCTGACCCCTTTTTATGGCTCTGTCAGAACATGGAATTGCTTCAGTCACTAGGTGTTAGCCAGCCTTGGAGTTATTTGAATTTCCCCTGCAGTGCAGCAGAGGAAGGAAGGCAGCCATAATGGTGTGGTGTAGAAATCTGTGGGGCAGAATGGCTCCGCTTGGGAACCACTCCTCAGAGGCTACTGCTCCCACAGGGAGTTGGAGGCCTCCAGCAGCCTGAGGCCTTTTCATCCCACCGGATGCCCTGGATGTCCCTAACAGCACTGCTCACGGAGATGTTTGATCTTCCCGGGAGTTTAGAAGTGAAATGGGCCAGAGTTTGTGCCCCTTCCCCGGGCTCCCATCCCCCACAAACAATAGACTGGAGTTTGCTGGTCTGGCCTCCATGCCCTCTTCAGAGCTCCCTGAAGAGAGATGGCTGCCTTGAAAACCACCCAACCCTTCTGCTCTGTAGATCTTTCCACAGAGAAAGTTTGGGGGTTGGCTTTGTATTCTGACATTCTCATTTACAGTGGCCTTTCTACTTCTACCTAGGAGAGCCAGGATTCCGAATTTGCCTTGACTGCAGCAGGAGGATGTCTGAGAGGAATACCAGAGGCCTTCTCTCAGCTGCTGCATTGTGCCCGCTGTGGCCATAGTCGCGTGAGTCCTCGAGAGGTTTCCAGAAGGGCATATCCATTGCCCACCTGCAATGAGCCAGGCACCGGGCCAGGCCTGGGCTTCACTCTGCTGAACAAAACCATCCCTGGCCTCAAGACGCTTACATCCAGTTTTAAAGATGAGTGGTGAACGATGGGTTTCTCTCACTCCGGAAGAATTTGACCAACTCCAGAAATACACAGAATGTAAGTAGATGGATTGACAGATGTGGAATATGGTTCCTTCTTGTCTACAAAGAGTAGAACAGAGCAGTATAGTCATTGCAAAGCCACAGAGAACAAGACCAGGCCTGACAGCCTCCCAGAATTAGTGTCTTTAACACAAAAATGCAATTACCTCTACGCTCTATAAATATTACATGCTCACCACAGAATTTGGAAAATGCATGGAAAAAAATAGAGCAGGTGGGGCTAGAGATTTAACTCAGCAGTTCTGCCACTGCCCCGCAAGTGCAAGTACCCGAGTTCAATCCCTGGTACCAAAAAAAAAAAAAAATAGAGCAGGTTAAAAATCCCGGGCAAACTCTGTGAGCATTTTGAAGCACTCCCCTCCCATGCACACTGCTTTGAATGGTTCAGTTCTAACTACATTTCCTCTGACTGTATTTCCTTTTCCTTAAGCTTGCATTTTCCACCTGACATAGTATCTGAAGTATTTTCTCAGGTCAGTTAAATCTCTCTATACCATAATTTTGGAGGGCTGCAGGTTGCACAGTTACCAGGTGGATTTGAACAGTGTGGCATTTGAATGCAAAGCCTTTTTCCAAAGAGACTGAACTCTGGTGTGTGTGTCTCTCTTGATCATTCTGGAAAGGCCTGAGCTTTTGTGTGGGGCTTTGGTTTCTGATTCCTTGTGCCCAGGGGCATTTCAATGCATGGAGTCACAGTAGCAAAGAGGTGTACACTTACACAAGGGGGATCAAAATATAGGGTGCAAATTTAAATGAAAAAAACCTATTACAGTGAAAAAGACAAATTGCCATTGATCTCCCTCAAAATTCTCTCCCTTGCTTCAAACACGTATGTCATCATCTGTCCCACTTTCTGAAGCAATTGCAGAAGTCCTCTTTCCTAAGTGTCTTTATAAGGTGTGATAAAAAATACAGTGAATGTGGCTGCTGAATGCCATCCAACAGAGAGGCAGATTCAAAAACATTACAGTGTGTCCACCTTCTTCACCAAATATGGCGTCATGCAACTTCCAGCCCTTCCCCCCAAGCCGAAATGGCCATGAAAGATAAAGATGTGAATTCACTGAGGCCGCCACAGCAGTGTCTCTAAAGACACTCATGAAAGAGGGTTTCCAGAAGTGCTTCAGAAAGTGGCAGAAATGATGAGAAAAGTGCGTTTGAAGCAAGCAGGACTATCTTGAGGGAGATTAATGGCATTGTATCTGTTACAGTAGGACATTTTTTAAAAATTTTAAGCCTTCAGGGGCTGGGGATTTAGCTCAGTGGTTCCGCCGCCTACCTCGCAGGCTCAAGGACCCAAGTTCCATCCCTGGTACCAAAAAAAAAAGAGAGAGAAGGAAAAAATTTAAGCCTTCACTGTATTTTTTCAGCACATAGCTGTGCCCCGCAAAGGCCACCCCCGTTCCTGACTGGTGATGGGAGTCTGCTGGGGCTGAGGCAGAAGCCTGTCTGAGCACTGGCCCCTGGGTGCCTGGAGTGACCGTCACTCACTGCAGCGTGACACTGCCTGACCGCCAGGCTCTGTGTCTTGCGGGGTCCCCTCATCCTAGTCACCTCTCCCGTCCGGTTACTGTGCTGGCTCTGTGGTAAATCACCAGGCCTCTAGTGCACGGCTCGCCTACCCAGAAACCTCCAACTGCCCTCTGACACCCCCTGCCCCTCCCCCAAGGGCAGCAGCTCTTGTTCGCAGCATTGGTCGGGGAGTTGAGGGACCGAACCCGAGTGTCAGCTCCACAATCTACACCTTTTGCTCTCTGTGGTGTGACACCCCTGGGCCTCTCATCCTCTTCTGTGCAGCAGGAGTGTTGGATTAGGCCTTGTCACCCTGTAGTCCCATCCAGGGCCGATGTCCTTTGCCTCCACACCTCCCAAGGCCAGCAAGAACCCCTAGCATCACCAGTCAGCCCCTTCCTGGTACTCTGGGCTGGTGCTCCCTGATCTAACCTTGATGGGCCTAGAAAAACCCTGCAGCATATTGACAGAGAGCAAGGAATCACTCTCCAGGGTAAATATGATTCAATTCAACCTGCTCTGAAGGTCACCAAAGTACCAGGCCCTGTCAGGGATGAAAAAGAAGCCCAAAGAAAAGGCCTACCCAAGAGGGAGCAGAGTCTTGCTATCAAGTAGGAAATGTATTGGCGATGCAAGCAGCAACAGCTCTGAGGCAGCAGGAAGCAGCTCTCATAGAGCTAAAAGGAGAAGAGAATTATAGGCCAGGCGAAACTGGTACTGCCTGCTGTACGTGCCTTCAACATAGCAGAAATGCAGCATCTCAAAGTAGAAGTCCAAACTCAGGGAGTTGGCAAGACTGGTGCTTCTGCAGGCTGTGAGGAAAGGACCCATCCCAGGCCTGGCTCCTCGGCTTGTACAAGGCCATACTCTCCTGACATTCTTCATAGGTGTTCTCCCTGCTTGCGTGTCTTGGGGTCCAAATTTCCGCTTTTGATAAGGACACGTCATATTGGATCAGATCTACCCTACTCTGTGTGACCTCATTTTACCTAATTAGTCTCCAACAGGTTTATCTATGGTCGCATCCGGAGGCCCTAGGAGTTGGGACTTTATCATATGAATGAGGGGGCCGCAAGTGGCCCCATAACAGGAGTGGAGTTAGCAGAGTGGACTTGAAGGTGGAAAGAGGTTTAAAATGTGGGTAGTAGATGGTAAAGGAGGCCATGGAGCCAAAATAGAGGGGCTCAGAGGGAAAGAGTGTGCAGACGGTGGAAGTTGGAGGTCTGGGCTGGATGGAAAGGATAAGAGAGGAGGAGGAGGAGGGGATGGAAGGAGGCATGGAGATAGCAGAACCCTTGACCCTGCATGGCCAGGTACGGACCTTGGACCAAGGTGCAGGATGCAGAACTGTGAATCTGGAAGCTGTGTGCAATGCGGCCTGGATCAGGGAGCTGCCAGGATGGGGAGTCAGACAGAGTCCATTAGATGAAGTCCAGCCTGAGCTGAAGAACAAGGCCAGGATGAGGACTGCAACGAGAAGAAATGCTAATCTGCAGGACAAGAGGAAGCCATCAAGGATGACTCTAGGACAGAATGCCTGGAAAGTAGTAGCAGTAGGACAAGCGGCTGGTGGATAGTTCGGGGACCCTGACTTTGAGATGGTGACAATTCCCCTTACATATTCAGGTGTGGCAGTCTCCAGGGAACTGCAAGAAATGAGGTGCACGGGCTGGGGATTTAGCTCAGTGGTTTCACCGCCACTGCGCAAGCACAAGGACCCGAGTTCGATCCCCGGTACCAAAAAAAAAAAGAAAAAAATGAGGTGCAGTTCCTGTGCCCAGGGGGCCCAAGGCCTCTTGGAGGAGAGAACAGGACTCACACAATGACATCACAGTATGCCAGGTGCTGAGAAGTGAGGAGTGGGGTGAGGAGGCCAGGCTCAGCCCAGCGGGGTCTTCCTGATGCAGCGTCTTTGTTATCAGACGCAGGCTGAGAGCCTCCAGCACAATGGGTGGGGTTGTGGGAAGAAGAATCAGAAAGCCACGTGGGAGGCCAGCTCCTCGATCCTGCTTTCTAAATGAGATATCTGGTGTGTAGAGGGCGTGGAGGGGAAGAGAGGGGTGAGGCTACAGCTCTGACTTGGGGATCCTGTGTGCAGACGACGGGGAAAGAAAACAAAAAACAAGTGCAAAGTCAGAGACCAGGAATATTAGGGGTTAAAAAGAAGAGGATGAAGAATGTGGTTTAGGGTGTGCCTTAAAGTGGAGTTCAGGGAAGGAAAAGGAGTCAGAATACAGAGATCCAGGCATGGGGCCACAGGCCCGTAATCCCAGCATCCTGGGAGGCCAAGCCAGGAGGGTCACAAGTCTGAGCTTAGCCTGGGCAACTTAGTGACTTCACAAGACTGTCTCAAAATTTAAAACTCTTTTTAAAAGGGCTGGGGGTGTAGCTCAGTGCAAAGTCCCAGGGTTCAATCTCCAGCATTGTAAGGGAAAAAAAAAGATGAAGAATCAGAGAGGCCACCTAAGAACAACCCAGGATAGAGGGAATGAAGAGAAAGGGAGTTCTCCCTGTGGGGGAGGAGGTGAGTGAGGGGTGAAAGAAACCAGGGTATCAGGAGGAAGAGATTCCTTCCTGGCTGGGACCTTCCTCCTGCCATCAGCGTCATCCTGTTGTCCTTCTCCGACCCTTCCTCACACCGCCCACACCCCAGGACCAGATGGTGTGCTCTGGTACTGTCATTCTAACAGGAGAGGAAAGAAAGATAGAATGCTTGGAAAATAATTAATCCTCAGAGGAAATCCTGAAGGAGTCACTTCCACCAGTTCTAAATGCATTCTGGTATTCAGTAGGATTGCATTGCCATAGCAACCACTCTTCCATATCCACATAAACAGGGGCTTTACAATAGCAAAATAATGAAGTATACAGCCCGAGAGTGGAGAACATTCCAGTGGACTTATTGGAAGGAGGGGCTCCATTTCTGAAGCATAATTCTGCACCTCCTCTGGTGTCATCTGTGGTGGAGAAACCATCTTACAACAGTTCTGGAGATATTTATTTTATACATATACTTGTGATTATGCATATACACATATCTGTAGTTGACAGGAAGTTTCATGTGAATTCACAGTGTAAAGCACTTGTCCAAAAAGCTAATGTGATATTAAGAAATTTTTATTATGAAATAAAAGCAAAGTAAATTTTTTCAAAAACAGAAAGTTGAAATTTAAAGCTGCCTATAATCCCATTTCCCAGTGATAACCATTAGCATGTTTGTGTATAGATGTAAGAATAAATATATTAAATATACAGGCACACATACATATGTACACATATATACATATATATATATAAAGAAGATGTACACTATGTTATTTTGCATGCTATTTTGTTTCCTTCACCATACCCATATGTTTCAGTTACCTGTTGCTACATTAAAACAACTTCCAAACTTGGGCGTTTAAACAACTGCCATTTTGTTTTTTACCATGATTCTGTGGATCAAGAATCTGAACAGGACATGAAGGGCATGACCAATCT